TTCCTCGCGCTCGAGGACACGGCGAGCACGTTGCTCTGACCGCCAATCACGGCTCGCATGGGGTGAAATTCCATAGCAAACTCTCAGAAGTGATCTTCGCTGTGTTTTCTGGAAAGCTATAATGACCTCCAACAAGGCAGTTCATGCGAGGCAGAGAAGGGTGACAGAGGAGGGCGGCTTCCGTCCTTGCGTGCCACTCTCTTGGGTAACAGGAGTGATGATACTGCATGTCGCAGGAGACGTTGCCTTTTTATGCTTTGAACTTGTTCAGAAGACACTACGGCACCGTCGTGCTTCGCACGACGGGACGACGCAGAGACGCCTGTGGTTCTGCGCGGGGGCAAGACGCGATGGCGTTCGATTCTGCAGACCTTTGTTCGTGCACGAGCAGCAAAGTCACCGGGGAATGCGTCGTATTTGTAGTCCGTCATCATCGCTTCTGCTTGATCGTTCTTACCGCCGTATTGTGGCCGAAGTTGGCCCCCATGGAGCTCCAACTGGTTGAACCCTTGTACCAGTTTCCCTCCTCACGCATCACGGAACCATTTCCAACAAGCGAAGATGGTATGATGGGTTGAGAGGGATTGATTCTACGGCCGACAGCCGCTAAAAACGTCGAGTCTCGGACCGTGTGCAAGTGAGCAATGAATGCATGCCAGCGGACGAGCTGATCAACGCGTTTCCAGCACACGCGCTGCTGCCCCTGTTTTTTGATGGATAACGTTCTTCCTTCTTGCAAGTGTGAAAAGGGCGGACCAATTTGGCTCCTCCGACATCTGAAGCCGTTTCAGTGCGGGGGAACATTCCCAGGGACGAACGCCTCAAGCTTGCACAACTCTTCTTGTTTCCAGAGAAGCAACCGGTGTGCATAAGGTGATTGAGAGAGAGTTTGTTGCGGACATCTGGTCTGATGCAAAGTCAGCGCAAAAATGAACCAAATCAGAGCGGACTCTGAAGCCCCCCAACCCACGTGTTAGGCGGCCTTTGCTTCTTTCAGCTAGCTGGACGCAAAGTGGAAGGGCAAGCAACAAGATGTACGGCTTTTCCGGCGAAGTCTAGTAAATTCGTCCTCTGTCGGTTTGTCCCTACCACGACGTGCCGCGTGCCACGAGTGCACTGAGCAGAAAGTCAGCTTGTCTGGCGTCCTGGCCGGCCCTCGAATCCTGCAGCAGACGAGCACGTCTTCGTCTCCGTCTTCGATCTGTGCCACACCAAGCTTGCATGATTTCTACGAAAAAATGAAGCATTTGCTTCAACTGTATCAATCTTGGCGCGACGGCGCTAAAGAATGTGAAGTTGTAGCCCGGGCAAAGAGTAGAAGAGCAGTATGAGCGAGCAGTTCTTTGTCACTTTGCTTTTTCGGAAAGGAAGGTCTTGGATAGGCAGATGAGCTTGAGTGTTTCATGTTTTACGTATCAAAGCCTTCACTTGCTGAACCTTGCGCAAGCGAAAGCCTTTGTGGTGCTTCTTTGTGGTCCCTGTCCCGATCTCCCTTCTCTCGTGCATCAAGGGAGTTTCTCTGATGAGCATTGGATTTGGCGAGAGCAAACACTTGTATTACCTTTCAAACCAATTTCGGTGGTTCTGAGCTGCTTGCAAGCGAAGCTGGTCCCTCCAGTCAACGGGCCAGACTCGCTGTGTGTAACACGCAGAAATGGTTCAGTTTCTTCTTTGGTGAGCGGGGGTTTGGCTTAATAGTTTGCTCTTCTAACTTGCTTGTAGCAGCACCAGCGCAACGGTGGCGTAGCTTCAGCACGCCAAAGTGCAGGGCGCCGAGGACATAGACGATGCTCGGCGTTTACTTGCTCCATTGCGCTACTACAAAGGCTGAGCTAAATACCTGTTTGCGTAGTGTCTTGGTGTCAAGCTATGAAAGGACCACGCGCCGCAACGGGGCAAGCAGAGCTAAAGTGCCCGCAGGAAGGCAAGTGAAGAGCCATCCTTCTTCCAAAGTCCTTCTGAAGGGAAAAACCTGGAACGTATGCTCTTCAGACCCTTTTTGCAAGCAAAAAACAATCCCGTCGGGCACCTGCAATCATCCCAAACCCTTGTGAAACGGAATTGTGAAATGTGGACACGCAACAGACCTGTTTTGCTTGCTGTCAACGAGCCCCCATTCATTCAGTAGACAATGCAGATGCTGCCAGATGTCTTCTACGTCATCGGATGGGAAAATACGAGTCAATTGGAAGACACAAAGCTCAGCGTGAGATGAGTGTAAAGATCGGGCCGCGAAGCAAAAGCAGCCTCTTGTTGAAAAAAGACAGGCCACCGCAAATGCTGCTTGTCCAGGTCCTGTATGTAAAGAAAAAGGAATTGAGGCAAGAAGGTACTACTTGATTTCCTACTCTCCTACTCAGCGCCTTGCTGTTACCACATATACAGCCTGACATGTCAGAGAACACGGAGGAGATCAGGTGCAATGAATCAAGGCTTTGCATCGCAATCACAGCTGGCAGAAGAAAGTCACCATTTCTCATCACTTTCCTGATCAGTTTATGTTTTGCAGATAAAGTAGGACGGCAGCTCTTGCGGGGAGACAAGAATCTGGTACGCGAAGGGCCGTCAGCAACTGCCGCATGTTCCCGCCGACGTTTTTTGTATCTAACATCTCGATTACAGAAGAGCTCCATAAGGGAGAAGAAGGAGTACAGGGTTAAATGCCTTTACGCACACCAAGCTATCTTGGTAGTGTGGGACTCCATCTAGTGTCGATAATACCCACTAAAACCGGGAGAAGGGAAGAGAGGAGGGAGGAGGGAGTTAAGGTGAGGGGGTGTGGATCTTGCTGGCTAGGCGGGAGAGGGCGGGCTGGTCGATGGGGAGGAGAGGAGTGATGGTGGAGAACCGTCGTGATCTCGAGAGCTTCCAGATGTGGTGAATGTAGCGGATTTGGAGGAGGATGGAGGGAAGGGTGGCGTTGGAGGGGGAGGGTGGGCAGATGAGTTGTTGGAGGGTGGGGTGGGGCTGGGTTCCTTCTGTTGCTAGTTTCCAAATTTCAATAGATATTTCGCATTCTATGAAGATATGGATAATGGACTCAGCTTTGGTGGTAAGGCAGACCCTGCAGTGAGGAGTGCCGTTGTTGGGGAAGGAGGCTGTGCTGGAGGCTGTGCTGGGGGTGGGGGTGGGTTTGGCCGCTACCTGGGTTCCTGGGTGGAGGGATCGGAGGGATAGAAGGTGGGCTGTGTTGGTCTCGTCTGGAAGGATGTGGCGTGGCTTTTTGAGGAAGATCCAGTACGCTTTCCAGTGTTGAGCCTGGAGGGAAGGAGAGGGAGGCCAGGGAGGATAAATTATGGAAAAGGAGGCTTCAGTGAAGGAAGCGGTGGACTTGGCAAAGGAAGTGACACTTAGCTGGTTACCACTCCATGATTCACGGAACCATTTGTAGGGAATAGTGAGAGTGTGGCGGTTGGAGAGTTGGGGGTTGAGGACTGAGGTGGACCACTCAATTCTGGAGGAGGAGAGGGAAGGAGAGAGCGTGACTGAGGCTTCCCATGCAAGGAGATATTGTTGCCATCAATCTGGTAAGTCGTTCTTGAGGGCTGTGTGGGTAGAGAGCCAGTGGTCGTCCTGAAATGCGGGAGAGCAGGGGAGGCAGAAAAGGGCCCACCAAGTCCACTCCCTCTTGGGCGCATTCCGCAACAACGGGTCGTCGGAATATAGTCGTTGCCGGAGTAGAGTGTCCTTGATAAGTATAGATCGTATTGCTCGGAGGTGGCGGGTTTCCCACGACGAGGAGGGGAGGAGATCGAGAATCCACTGAGCCCTGGGGCCCTGTAGTTGTAGGGTCAAGTCAACCAGTCCAAAACCTCCCTTTTTAAGGGGAGTACATAACCTTTTTAGGGAGACAAGGCTCTTTCTGTTTTTCCCCCAGATGGTAGTCAGAGCGGCGGATTGGAGTTCCTGTAGGATGTGAGCAGGGGCTGGGGAGAACTTGTCCAGGTAGAGGATCTTGGTGAAGCAGTACTTGTTGATGATGGCGCATCTGGTGGAGAGAGGAAGGTCATACATCGGAATACATCTCATCCTTTGGATCACCTTGGCTGAGGCGTCTGTCCACTCCTTGAGGCGGTCCACTGAGCTCCCCATCTGAACCCCCAGGCACCTGAACTCTTGGAGGTGCACTTGCCAATTGCCATAGGACGTCTTAAGGAGCGGAGGGCGGCGAAATTCCCCAAGGGGGACTAGTAGGGACTTCGAGTAGTTGATCTTCGAGCTGCTGGCGCTGCAGAATGTGGTGATGGCGGATTGAAAGGCTTCCAGGTCCCTGTAGTCCCTGAGGAAGCAGTTGACATCATCAGCAAAGAGGAGTTCTCTGAGGAGGGGAAGGAAAGAGGAGGAAATCCCTGTGACTTCCTTTCGTATGAGAGAGGCTAGGCCTTCTATAGCGATAGCAAAGAGGGAGGGAGCTAGGGGATCCCCCTGCCTGACCCCAGAGAGGAGGGGGAGGGACTTGGATAGCCATCCATTGAGGTAGATCTTCGCATGTTGGTTAGTGAATGTACGAGAGAACCAGGACTCAGCTCTAGGGCCAAATCCAAAGGTCTGGAGCGATTTCCGGAGGTAGTAATGGGAGATCTTGTCATAGGCCTTCTCCAGATCTATGGAGGCAAGGAGACCAGGATTAGCTTCTTCAGTGTCAAAGGCTGAGTGAATCTCCTCTATATTAGTCCCTATCCATCGTTCTGGGATGAAACCTGTTTGTTGGGCGCCAATGATGTGGTGTAGGATGGGAGAGAGGCGCCTGTTGTGGGCCTGTGAAAGGAGCCGCTGGTCAGTGTTGATGAGGGAAATAGGGCGCTTATTGGAGAGGAGAGAAGGGTCCCCCTTCTTGTGAGGAAGGTGGATATGTATCTCCTGTGGAGGTAGCTCGTCATCAGTGTAGTCAGGGAGGGAGTTGAGGACAGTGAGGAGGATGGGGCCTGTGATTTCCCACGCGGGGGAAAAACATTTTGTGTGCTTATATAGCCCGTTTTAGAATGCGCTTTCATCAAACCGGTCAGATGGCCGAGCGGTCTAAGGCGCTAGCTTAAGGTGATTCTTCGGAACACTCTGTTCGCTAGTCTTCGGGCGTGGGTTCGAATCCCACTCTGATCACAATGGAGGTTAAAGTCCTCTCCTTATCCTTTTTGCGCTCGAAGGCGTGTGGGGCCTTTTTTTTTTTTTTTTTTTTTTTTTTTTTTTTTTTTTTTTTTTTTTCTTTATAACACATGAGTTGCGGAGCGGAGAACCTGCTTCGACGGCCCAGCTGTCGTCCCACCGAGAAGTGTAGCGGGAAAAAGGTGGCAATCCTGAATTGCGAGACAAGCGAAAAGGGAGCTACAATCTACAATCCGCACAACTAGTGCACCACGTGGGGAAGGAGGGTGGGTAGAAAACTTCGCTAACGCCTGGGAGAGGGCGTGATGGTCAGCTACTGAGGGAAAGGAGGATCTACTGGTGTCTAGCAAACCTGGGAGAGGGCGTGATGTAGCGGAGCGAGTTTTAGAACTACTGAGAGCAACCAAGTGATAACGCTTCCTAACTAAGGCGAGCGAAAGTCAGCAACCATCGGGGGTGACCAGGGCTCAACGAGAGCCGCAAAGTCGAGCCAGCCGCGAGTGGAAGGGGTGCTAACAGGAGGAGTTGGTCTCTGAGATGGGGAGTTAACTAAACGTCGCGCCTTCGTCAGGATGCAGAACTCAAAACTACTCGTTACGGGAAGCACTCACCCTCGTTGCTTCAGCTTGCTCGTGGTGGGCGAAGAGAAGGAGAGGAGAGGCTGAGGTGTGTGCGCATTGGGAGGATAGGAGTGCGGAAGCGGGTTGGGGGAGTGTGGAAGAGCGGAGAGCGGAGCGAGGGTCTGGCGCGGCACGTCAAACCTCAACGACCCACTGCGTACTTCGAATTCGATTCAGACCGGAAGGAAAGCTTTGAGAAATAATTACGGGGCGGAATCTAGGGCTCCTGTGTCTCTGTTCTTTACGCATAATGGGCAAGGTCAATTCGTTCGGCGCCCGTTTCATACAGTAGCTTTTCCCCTCACTTCCCATCCCACACATCAAGGAATTTTATTCCAGTAGTGCTAGGTGTTTGAGGATGAAAAGCGCTGGCTTCCTAGTTCTTCACACCCCTCGCCGCTCTTCGAGGCATCGGGCAAGAGCAGCTTAGCCCTGGAGCTAATGGGCCAGACAAGCGGTGTTGAACACGCACCGCTGGTCCCGTTGTCGCGAAGGTATCTCTGCTCACGTCTTCTTATGTACTTTGACGCGTTTGCCCTCTTTATTCCAGCATCGGCTATAGTCCTTGGGCTGAATTTACGATGGCCTGGACGCGTCCTGGATGAGGGCGATCCTCTCGACGTTGCTTGCTGCTTCATTTTGCGAACACAAGCCTGACCGCAGAGCTTCGGTCTGACGGCTGCTCATTCAACTATCTCATCACCGTCCACTTCGCAGAGACAGACAGATCAACGCAATAGCAACTCTCCGCGCGTGGAAAGCACATCGCGAGCAACCTCTTTTTTTGCGCATCTCCAGGAAGACATAAGGAATCGAGTTCCGGTTGTTCGAGATGTTGCTTTCAGCTTCAAACTTTTGTACTACAACCGCCGTGAAAGAGGGAAACCAGATGGGATGGTGATTGGGGCACACGGAGCAGCTTCGGCTCTCTTCCTCTCCAGCAGGATTTGACCTATGTGGCCGAAGATACAAACCTCTGCGGCAGTGCTTTGACTTGAGCTCTGAGAGAGTAGAGCAGACAGCTGTGGCGCTAGGACCAGCAGGGATCGAGACGGGCGGCGCTTTTGCCTGTGGGCTTCTTTGATGAGCAGATAAGCCGACGGCATCTTTTTGCGTGAGACCGTTCCTCACCGCAGGTTTTTCATAGTTGAAGATCCACTTAAGAGCTTTAAAAGGCTGTATCAGTTCAGCAGCAGTCGAAAGAAGGCGGGATGGGGTTTGACCTAGGCTGTGGAATGAGCGGAGTACGGGCTCACGGTATCCTTCCTGCTTGGTACCAGGAAAGACGCCTTGATCATTCGACTCCACACATCCAGTACCTTTTTGGTGATAATCACGTAATTGACCTGAAAAGCGGCGTTAGCACGAACGGCGTCAGAGTCGCGGTCGGTGTAGGGGACGTGCTTTCACTGTCTGGACGCTGATGTTTGATATTTCAGTGCATTGATTTTAGAAAAAGCACCTTTAAGGGATCATGAACCTGATGAACGACATTTCATCCGTGCTACGGATTTTTACGGCTCTCCATGTCGCAGAGCCCACCCTGGTTTGGTGTTCCTTCGAAGCTCTTGCCTGAACGTCTTTTCTTTCACAGCAAGGCACGTTGCCTGCTCAGTGTCTGATTAAGTTGCTGGATGGGAGTATCTCTCGACTGGCACAGTGCAATTTGATACCCGCGTGCGAGCAAAGCAGGCCCATAAATCGAAGCACGCGCCAACTGGTGCAAACCCGTGCATCGCTGGCTCCGCGTTCTCCTTTCTTTTTGGGTAGCCTTGATGCTTTGCAACATTAATGAGAGTTGCTTTAGCCTCTCCCTGTGCCAGAAGTACTCTAAGGCACAACGCGTTCTTAAACGAGGCCAAGGTGCGCACCATTGTGCGATCTCTTTCGGTGTTTTGGGAGACGTACCGCGTACATGTGACCAAAATTGCTTTCACTTGATTTATAGATGCAAGATCCACAAGGTAAGGGAAGGCATGATAAGAAGTAACCCAAGCGGAGAGTCGTCTGAAAATCCATACGAGCTCATTCAACAGAAGCTTGAGACTGTTGTACACGCAAGGGCCTGAAAGTCGAGCAGGGGCGTCGCACGAGCTACTTTGATCGGCCTCACTCGTCTTTGACCGGCTGAGGCCGATCTGTCGAAGGCTCGACGATTCACAGCCATATCTCAGAAGCTGGTAATGAATCATGGATTTGATCGTCCTTGAAGACTTGCGGGCGAACAGCACGCTGAATCCGTCAAGCCTGTTGCAGTTAACCGATTGGATATCGGGCACCTCTTCATCGGCTATGTGGTGGCTCAGAAGCTGCTAAGCCTACTTGACGTGCACTGAAAAGCTGTTGAACACCATATCCACGAGAAAAAGGCTCTACCCCGGCGGTCTCAGTCAGTAAACGCACGCAATATTGAAAGCCAGTGGTCGTCGGCTATTTTGCTTCGCTTTTGTTGGTAAAAACAAGCGTTGAAGCAACACCTACCAGAAAGTACCCTTTTGAAAAGTACATTCCTACGTAAGACAAGTAAACGGGGGAGCGAAAGGGCCGTGGCAGGAGATGTGCCCGTGCGGACCAACGACGGCTCAGTAGTCACCAGCTTCGCGGTTCCTGACAAGCAATAGTCACCCTGTCAGATTTGGAGATCAACGCCTTGACTGAAAATGATAAGTTTCAAGGCCAGCTTACTCCATCGCATTTTTCTCAACTTCGAAAAGAGCACCGTAAGACCGTCGAGCTGAATACCGGTTTCCGAGCTCACCGCGGAAACTGGCGTGCTGGCTAAGAGGCGATCTGCGAGCTGTGCTTTGTTATGAGCCCAAAAGCTTATCACCTTTCTGCCACTGTCGTTAGACGCTCCTCAACTCAACCTGGCTACTTGTTGTACACTTGCTTCGCCAGAAGTCCAAGACGTCTCGGGAAGGGGCTCGCGGCCGTGACCCTCGCTACTAGCCATCTCAACACAGAGGCAGCTAGAGTGATAGCTAGAGGCTACCACTCCTGACCTCTTCACCAATTGCACGCCCTGCCGCACTCAATGAGTGATGCGCTACGGCTGTCTTTCTCCTCCGGCTCCTGGATGCATGCTTCGGCTGGTAATCAGCCGGAAGGTGGCCCATAAAACGTCGGAGAATCTGGAACACGTTCAGACGCTCGTGCGCTGAGAGAGACACAAGCTCAATGCAACTTTGAGGACGCCCGCCGTGTCGCCCTCTCACTTATTCTCCGGGCCGCACCACACCCACGAACCGAAGCTTTTGAGCTCCGCTCGTGGAGTGACCTGACAAAACTTTTGTATTTCTTTGTAGGGTATATAGCTGACGATGTCTATACGCGACATACACCTCAGATTGAGGCTGGAGCTGTCGGACGACTGGATGTGCCTCTGGTGCCGGAATTGGCGCCAAGAAGTTCAAGTTACGCATCTTGCGCTCGTTGTCCTCATTTCCAGTCAAACCCTCAAGCTGCAGTAGGAGCGGCTTAAGTCTCTTCTAATATGAATGCACTTTGATCTGGCTCCTCATTTCACTGGAAGGGTGTGACGGAGTTGCTCGCGCCGAGACACGCCCTAGGCTTCCCGCATTTCGAAGCGAGTGACCTTCTTCTTGTAGAGGTGACTGCTTCGACAATGGGCTCAAATTGAATGTGTATTTATTTTCTTCACTGTAGTAGATGACGATGGAGAGAGAAGCTCGATATTGAAGGAAGGGTTCCAAAAGAAAGCGTGCACGGCGGAGAGTGACCAATCCGTAGTGGCCGGACGGTCCCCACAGAGAGTGATCCTACGGACGACGAGCTAAATGGGAAGTGGAAAGTGACCAAAAATACTTTGAGCGCGAGAGAGGCGAGACCGACGCCAGAAAAGGTCAGCGCAACGCACTACGACAACTTCGGCAACCATACCACGTGTCACGCTCTCCGCCCGGATCTCGACCGTCTGACCTACGTCCCCTGACCGACGCAGCAACGAGCAGCAGCAAACGATCGGACAGATTCCGGGATTGATTGACGTCCCTCACGGCCTCGCGTTCTATCCACCCCGCATAGCTTCGTACCTCGACCCTCAGACTCAGGCCCTAATGCCTCGCATTCGCGCAAGAAGTGTGGCTTCACCTGCTTCGTCCTGCTCCCGGCGAATGTCTCACTTTGGCGGACTTGCGGCCCCTCGACCCTCTATTCACTTCCAGAACCCTCGTGGCGGTGTCACGACTGCCTTTCAAAGGCATCGCAGGCTGGACCTGAGCTCGCGTGAACGCGTGCCTGGATTCCTTCACCGCCTTCCGCGTTCGGAAGGGGGAATGAGGGGGGGACGCTCGTTCCGGGAACGCATTCGTGCGAATGAGGAATAGTGGTGATAATGCCATGTGCTGGACTTTTTTG